GGCATCAGATTCCCTGGAACTGGAGTTATGGACTTTGTAAACCACTATGTGGTTTCTAGGACCCAAACTCAGGTCTTCTTAACTGCTGAACCATCTTTCTAGCCCTGACTTTACTTTTAATCACAGAAGTGCTTAACTTTTTTGAAAGGCAATCATGTTAGTACAGAAAAATGCAGTTTTAGATTCAAGTTATTTGCTGTCTATATGGATACAGTTTTAGAAACGTTAAATCTCAGAATGCTAGTTTTATGTGATATTTATAGATAGCTTTCTTTGCCATGAGGTATGAAAATGTGATTGCTTATGCCCAGTTTTATGCTCATGAAGTTAATCTATCCCACCTGAAGTGTTGTAGTCATCAGGTTATATCTTAGGATATGGTGAAGAACTGCTTTCAGCTCCTTGTTGGAGTTTTTATTTGCCTTTTTCTATTTTTTGTAAACCCATTTGTCTATAACTACTTGCACACAGAGCTTTTAATCCCTAGAAGTAGCCATTGCAAGGTTACCTTATAAGCATTTTTTTTTGTTCATCACAGAGTTTTGGATGTTTTTAATGTTTTTGAAGATCTCTTATTTTTGCCTTACTTGTACTTTTTTTTTAATCTTTTGAATTGCTTCTTTTTTTATATTAGTTGATAATCCAGATACACATTTCTAGAGGAATTCCAGGTTCTTTTGTTCCTGAAGAAGAAATAGAGCACAAGCATACATTTGTAGCTGAAACACGATATATTATACTATTATGAGAGAGGAAGTGTGCCAAACCAAGGACATATTTCAGCAGCTCAAAGGGTGCCAGAGTACAAAGAGTTGGTGTTTTTATATTAGCTTACCCAGGGCTTTTGGCTCATTAGTATAAGGCAGGCTTTTCTGTGCATGCTGTTACTTGTGGTTCTGTATACAACTTCACTTTCGCTGTCTACTCAAGGGTGTGTCTTGACACACTGGAATGCCTCTCATCTGTATCATTGGGCAATTTTAGCCATACTCTGTCTGATACTGGTTTCCAGCTTGCTTCTTCGCCTACTTGTTTTTTTTTATATGCTAATTTTATAAGACTTTGAATGAGAATTTCTGGACCTACTTTCTTCTGCCCAAGTCTTCTAAATCATTTTCCCCTCCCTCATTAGTACATCTTCTTGGTTCTGTGCCCAGTTGTCGATCTTATTACATACTTTATCCCCTCCTCCTTCCTTCCCTCCCTTTCTGATGTAGGGTCACTTTGTGTTCTCTAAGCTGACCTTGAATCCATAATTCTTCTTGGTCTTTTTGTGCTAAGATTGCAGACATATACTACAGTGCACAGCTTCTTGGTCTCTTTTAACATTTATTTTGTCATCATCTGTCCATGCACCCCATAATTCTTCTCTTGAGTCTCAAATCTATGACTCATTCTCAACTCCTTTTCCTGCCCTAGAGTCTTACTTTTTACCACTTGAACATCATCTAGAGTTATGTACTATAATTTATTTTGTCTCAAATCAGTTTCTATTTTGTTTTATTTTTTTTTATTTTATTTATTTATTTTTTTTTTTTGAGACAGGGTTGGTTGTCCTGGAACTCGCTCTGGTTCCTGAGTGTTGGAATTAAAGGCCTGTACCACCACCACCACCTTGCTGCCATTTTTTTATTTTCTAAATTTTTTTATGTGTATTGACATTTTGCCTTCATTTATGTCTGTGTACCATGTGAGTGCAGTGCCATGGAAACCCGAAGAGATGTTGGATCCCTTGGGGCTGGTATTACAGGACCTTTTTAGCTTTCATGTGGGTACTGGGAGCTAAATCCAGGCCCTCTGGAAGAGCAACGAGTGGCCTTAATCATTGAGCCATCTCTCCAGTCCCAAAGTCTTCATTTTAGAATAAGCTTTGAATGGATCATGTCTGCAACATCGTTGTTTATAACTAGTCTTTGTTAGCACTCGAGGTGCCATGGGACCTGGGAGAAAGGAGCCGATAAACGAGGCAGACTGAAGTTTCACGCAATAGCCAACTTTACTCAGAGCACAAGACAATTTATACTCTGAGGTTAAGAAAAAAAAATATCACCCGAGTAATGTTCTCAAGTGTTAAAACAAGCTGTGGTTGACGACATGTGTTTTCCAATGAAGGAGAGTTTAAACACGTAATTGAATAACAGCTGCAAGCAATACTGAGTAATTGAAGTCAGCTTAGCCCTACCTGCCACACCTGGGAGGAGCACAAAGACACATTCCAAGAAAAAAAATCCCTGTTTTGAAGAAACTGAGGCCATAAGACTCTTGTTTTCTTTCTTTCTTTCTTTCTTTCTTTCTTTCTTTCTTTTTTTTTTTTTGACTCTTGTTTTCTTGGAGTGTTCTCACACTCAGAATTTTCATACCACTCCATTCTTGGACCAAGTTCCACTGTCCACTTTTCTTCTTCTCCTCCTATTATTATTAATTGTTATTTTACTTAAGTTTAAAAACAGGTCAGCCAGGGCTATATAGTGAGAGTCTGTCACAGAAATAAAGAAAAAAAAAGTGAACATGTAAATCTTGAGAAATAGTGTAGGTCACTTCACTTCAGACTTCAACGTAGTTTGGAGGTAAATTTGATGTGCTCTTTATTTTTAACTTAAATATCTGTAATTTATGATTTCCAATGAAAAGTCATAAACCTTGCAGACATTTTAGATAAAATCATTATAGCATGTGTAAATAAACTCCTTGTTGGCAGAATGCTTCACAGTTCAGTGTGTGAATCACCTGGAGAGCTTGTTAACATCTTTTAGCACTACTATCCCCAGAGGTCATGCTGACTTAATTCTGGCAACACTGACAGATTTTTTTTTCTGAAGTGAGCAAGTCAGGTGATTCTGGTGTGTGAACCATCTCTGGATTATTTCAGGAAGAAGAATTAGGATTCTGTAAAAGGAAAACCAACCGTGTCTGGTTAATTTGCTTGATTTAATGTTAGACCATTTACCCCGCGCTCTCCCCCCAAGACAGGGTTTCTCTGTAGCTTTGGAGCCTGTCCTGGAACTAGCTCTGTAGACCAGGCTGACCTCAAACTCACAGAGATCTGCCTGTCTCTGCCTCCCGAGTGCTGGAATTAAAGGCATGCACTACCACTGTCTGGCCCATCTAAAAATCTTAATGCAAGATACTCTAAAATAGGAACATAATACTGTATTATAGGATTGGTGTTGAAATTGATTCATCCTTTAAAGACAGATGGTAGTTGTTCTCTTTGCTATTGCCTGATCTAGAATACAGACCTAGCAAATGCAAGACCGGTCTTCTCAAAAGTTTAAAGAGGCTGGAGTGATTATTCAGAGGTTAACAGCACTTGTTTGTAGAAGGAGCGGTGGGCTGTGTTCCTGCCACCCAGCTCCTGGCCGCCTGGCTAGCTTATGCCCCAAAATAACGACACACAAACTGTATTCATATAAACACTGCTTGGCCCATTTCTATTAATGTGTGTAGCACCACGAGGTGCGCTTACTGGGAAGATTCTAGCCTACATCCATCCTGAGTCGGCGCTTCATCGCATCTGCCCTGGAGAAGAGCGGCATGACATCTGTCTGAGGCGTCTTATCTCACTTCCTCTTCCTCCCAGCATTCTGTTCTGTTTGTTCCACCCACCTATGTTCTAACCTATCAGGTCAAGCAGTTTCTTTATTAATTAACTAATGACCTTCCTCCATCACTTGTTCTTGCAGAGGGCCTTGGTTTGATCCATGCCTTCTTCTCACTTCTGTGGGCCCCAAACATATATCTGTAATACACATATGTACAAACAAAACACACCTTGAAGAAAATGAATCCATTTAATAAGAAAAAAAAAACACAAAATAAATAGTGGGAAGGAAATAAAGATATCCATTCATAGTTGCTGAAGAATGGCACAGGGAAATGGGATATAGTAGAAGAAAAAATTAATCAGTGGTGTGCTTAGATTTTAGTGGTGAGAGTCAAGTCCAAAAAGGACAAGGTTGATGCAGGAGATTTGAAACAGTTGTGAGAACAGAATTTTTGAGTAAGATAATCATAATGGAACTCGGTGTGTATGGCTTTTAGTAGGAGTGAGGGCAGTTTGTTGAAAAAGGAGAGAATGTTCCTGTCTCTACCTCCAGCTTGCAGCAGGAACACATTCCACCTCTGCTTGCTTGTGTGCTCTCTGTCTCTCTCTCTCTCTCTTTCTTTTTGCTTGTTTTTGTTTTTCAAGACAGGGTTTCTCTAGGTAGCTAGGGTTTCTCCTGGTATTCACTTTGTAGACCATACTGACCTCAAACTCACAGAGATACTGTGTTAAGTGAAGTTTAAAAACTTTGTTTTGACAGATACATTCATATTAAATTATTTATATTTCCATATAAAAGGACATGATTATAGTGATGGGCTGCTTCACCTTGGACAAGACAAGAAGTGAAGAAAGAGAGGATGAAGGACATGAAATAAATCTTGGTCTGTTGAAGCCAGTGGATTCCTAGAGTAGTAAACTGGAAAGAGAAAGTAAAGAGAGTGAGCTGTTGGAAATTGAACTTTTTGACGTGATGGAGTTATTAGTTATTGATAGGGGAGTAAGAGGGTGAAATGGATGGGGTGGATCATTGAGTGTGTGAGTTTTCAATTACATAGATATCATTTCAGTGATCAAGTGAAGTCAGGGTTTGTGCTGTGAAAAAACAAGTTCGCTTAATTACACTTTTTTTTCATTTACTTAAGAGTATATTACTCCCTGTTGCATTTTGTTTAAATATCACCTCAAATTGTAAATTATTGATCTGTATGAAGATGCTTCTAAGAAGTAAATGGATAAAAACAAAATTTTACTTTGTCAATATACAGCCCTATCATATTGTTTGGTAGCAAACCTACGACTTATTAAACTGAAACTTTAAACATTCAGACTGATGATTCTATTGTCCAGTAAGTTATTTTAGTACTGTGGAGGTTCAGTGAGGACACTGCAACATGTGTGGTTGTCTGTAATACATTGCTTCGCTGACTCTTTTTTTCCACTTGTCTTTTCATAGGACCTCAGCTAAATGCCCAGTTAGAAGGTTGGCTTTCACAAGTTCAGTCTACAAAAAGACCTGCTAGAGCCATTATTGCACCGTAAGTTTTAGAGTTCTCCTTTAGCATTTTTATTATTGATAAAAATCAGTGTATATTGAACTAAAAGTTAAAAACCAAATATTGGACTGGAGAGATGGATCCATGTTGCTTTCTTTTCTTGGAGAGGTCTGTTTGGTTCTCAGCACCTGAGTTGGGCAGCTTAAGTTTGCCTCTGACTTCAGTTCCATGGGATCCAACACCCTTTCATGGGCTTTGTGAGTATCTGTACACATTCAAGTAGGCACATATACATATAAAATAAAATGAGCAAATACATCTTTACAAAAAAATTGGGAACGATTGAGGTAGACACTTAACTTTTGGCCTCCACATGTGCTTGGACGTATGTGTGCTCCCCCTCCCCCCAATAACCTAGATTAATGTTTGGATGATGTAGATAAGCATTTTAAATGCCAAATACTTTGTGAGATACTACATTTATGATGTCAGACTCTATCACTTAAAAAGCTGTAGTGTGCAAGTTTATTAATCTCCTGATCTTCACTTTATACAATGCTAATTAATACCTCCTTATACACATTTTTTTATTTCTTTCACTTTTAAAGAATGTGTTACTGAAATCAAACCCATGTTCTCAGAGGTCAGAAGAGGTGTGGGACTCCCCATAGCCAACATATGGATGCTGCGAACCAGAGTCCAATCCTTTGGAAGAACAACAAACTCTGTTAACCACCAAAACACATTTCTAGCCCCCAGGGTAGTTTTTTTTAGTATGGGAAAACTATTATCTGATCATCAAAATTGGTAAAATTGTTCATAACAACTGAACTTCATGCCTATGTCTTCATTGTTCCTCTTACTTTCAAGTTTGAAGTTGACAAATGCTTCAGTTTTGAATGCAACATGAGCTGACCAAGCCAGTCAGTACACTTGAAACATTTGACATCTGTAGTGGTAATATTTGATATCTAGCCTTAAGTGAAATTGAAACACAAAGTATTCAACTGTTGCTATTCATCAAAGTTCTTTGGCTGAGGCATCATTACCCTTGGTAACCTTGTTACTATTTCCCCATAACTATGATTCTACAATCTGTGAGTTCTGTGGATTTAGAAGAATCCATGTTTTTGGTGGGATGGTATCCTAATTTTTTTTTCTGTTGCTATGATAAAACTAAAAAACAAAAACTAAAAACAATTTGGGGAGGAAAAGGTTTATTTTGTCTTGCATTTTTAGATCAAAATTCATTACTGAGCTAACTAAGACAGGGCAGGAACTCAAGGCAGGGGCAGAAGTGTAAAGATCATGAATGCTTACCTGTTTGCATTCTTAGACAACCTGGGGGACCCTCTCATGCCAGCCATTAACAAAGTAACTACCTCACGGACATACCTACCAGATGATTTGATGGGGTTGGTCTTCTCCTGCCTGTTTGAGACAGAGTCTCTTTTTTGCTGCTGCTTACACTTGAGCTCCTGGGGATTCTCCTGTATCCATCTCCAAGCCTGCTTGAGGACTACCCGAATTTGGTATGCCTCTGGGTCTGCATTTGCACAGATTCGGGGATTGCAGTTTGACACATGAGCTTTACCCACCGAGCCATCTTCCTGGTCCTTGTGATTTCTTTCTTTTAAGTAGAATATATATGTGTATTCTGTTTTCTTTATAGATTCATCTATTGACTGAGTTGATTCTGTAGCTTCATTTGGTTTTGTCAATAGTGAAAATGGACTTGAAGACATGTCTTATGATATATGGTTTCACATCTTATATAAATCACCAGATGTGGTACTATTGGATTTGTTCCATTCTTGTTTGTTTTGGTTTGAGGCAGGATCTTACTGTGTAGTCCTGGATACCCTGGGACTCAAAATCTGCTTGCCTCTGCTTTTGTAGTGCTTGGATCCACAGCATGTGTCATCACACCCAGTTCTCCATTCTCTATTATTGCAGTCATAGTTGGCTTATAGGAGCTCAGCAAATAATATCGTATAATATATAAACAATAGACTATATGGAATTTATGATAAAGTATTACATATTTTTATCATTATTCATAAATGTTAGGAATAGTTCCTAACTGAGCCTCTCTAATGGTGCAAAGAACTCCAATCAAGCCAGATCAGACCAAATCAAAAATGCCCACATTTAATGAATGTGGAGCAGAGACCGAGACAAGGAGAGCACATGAGTTCCTTTTTCCAGGTAGAGCTTAAGTACCCTGTGGGTGTGGTCCTGACCCACCCTGGGGAGGGGTCAGCGCTTGGCAGGCTGAGAGTTGGAGTCCAAGTGCTTGGCAATTCCCAGACCAGGGGCTGGGGTGACACTTCCAACTCGATATTACAATAAATTGTGTGTGTGTTTGTGTGTGTGTGTGTGTGTGTGTGTGTGTGTATAATTAGATTAATTTTATGTGCATTGGTGTGAAGGTGTCAGATCCCCTGGAACTGGAATTACAGACAGTTGTGAGCTGCCATGTGGGTGCTGGGAATTGAACCCAGGTCCTTCGGAAGAACAGTCAATGCTCTTAACCACTGAGCCATCTCTCCAGCTCCTGTATTTACATTTTATCTCAGTAACATTGTATAAAAGCTTATGTACATATGAATGTACAGTTTTCATTTCCTTCAGAGTCACTTGTTAAAATATTTACCCTACGGACAGTATACTATCTACAGTGATGTACCTGAAAGTGACTGGTATTGGCTCAGGGCACCCCAAGACCAAGTTCTCAGCACAAAGGAGTTTTATTTACCCCAGAAGAACCAAGGGCAGGGAATAAGAGACAAAGGCTTGTGACAGAGAAAAAGGGAAAAAGGGAAGGGAATAAGGAGAAAGGAGAAGGGGTATTTGATGGTGAGGGAGTGGAATGGGGAAACAAAGGCCTGCCTCTGGATAGAGAGGCAAATGCTGGTTTATAAAGGTACAAACAAGGGAGAACCTGGTGTTAAGATGAAGTGTTCAGTTTTAATTGGGCATGTTCATTAAGGTGACCCAAAGGGGGCTTTTGATTGCTGAACTTTAGTACTTTGGTAGCTGGACCTTGGTAGTCGGCCTCAGGAAGAGGAAGTGGCCAAATAAGGGAATAGACCTTGGTGGCTAGCTTCAGGAATGTAACCTATGTAACAGTTGTTTTGTTTTGTTTTTCCCTGAAGGCAGAGGGAACAGGGAGAAGGGTAAGACCTGCCAGAGCTATGTTCACCATGTTTCTTGCCCTTTAGACAGTGGTACAGAATACACTGTCTAAAAGAAGTGTCTAGACTCATGTAGCAGGAATGATTCAAGAGAGATGATCAGAGAACAAAACTGCTCTGTAGGTGATAAGAGAATTGACTGAATGTGAAGCTGGAGGGTGAAAAGAGATAAGGAAGAGAAACTGAGAGGCATAATACAAGAAGCCAACTCAGTTTCTTTACTGCTAAAGGCAGAGATATTTATTTGCTGTGGTGCTGTCTGCTAATTCACTACAGAGGAATATCAAAAATTAGCAACTTAAAGTAAGCCTTGAATATCTCCAGATGTTACTGTCCTTCCCACCCGAAACCAAACTGTCTCTTGGTCATCCTAAGCAGGTGCTCGATCACTGAATTGCATAACTGACACCTAAAAATATTTTTGGAGGTTTGTAATTGGAATATAGTATGAAACAATTATGTTTTCTATTACCTTCTAAAAGTTGCAACATTAATTATATTACTTTTTAATTTATATGCTCAATTCTGTTATATGTATCATAGTTTTTATATTTCTTACTGTAAGTTTTCTTTTCTTTGGAGTACCTTGATTGTGAACATGGAGATTCAATCAAAATTGTTTTGTTTGTAGCCATGCAGGATACACGTACTGCGGCTCCTGTGCTGCCCATGCTTACAAACAAGTGGATCCATCCGTTACGTAAGTTCATTAGGAGTAGCCTAGGAGTGTCGTAATGGCAAGAGTTCATTCTGCTTGGCCTTTCCAGGAATCTGTCATTCCTTGTGTTGGTTAAGACATACCTTAATACTTTTCTTTGAGAATTTACTTTTTACCTTGACTTTAGTTCTGAAACTACTACAAAGTTAAAATATTTTGAGTTTTAGTTTTCATTTAAAAACCTAGATGTGAAAATTTTAAAGAAAAATGACATTTCCTTTGTAATTACTAAAAGCAAAAGTTTTACAGCAGTAAAGAGAAATTAAATTGAAAAGATTCTAGTTATTTGTTATTTCAACTTGGTCTGAAAGTCAGCTATAATCAAGGTTATTTTAAGTAATATTTTGTTCTAAACTTTTCTCAGTTTGGTAGAATTTTTACTGATGACGTTATATGCTAGAGGTATGCCTTAGTATTAGGTTGGTTTAGGAATATGTAAATAAGTATAAGTATGCTGGGGGAGGTACAAAGTGGGCCTTAAGCAGACTGATGGAAACTTTAGTTAAAGGAGGAAGGAAAAGGTAAGGGAAAAAGCCAAGAGTAAAGGACAAAGAAGAGGAGGAGGTTAAAGTATTTAAACAGTTTAATATTAGATGGCATGTTAGTATTTTAGAAATCAATTAAATCATTTTAATAATCAATAAATGCTGGATAATAAACATATAACTGTTGACTTGAATTTTAAGTAAGTTCTAAACTATCTTTATGAGTCCTAAAATGCAGAAGGTTAAGTGTATTAAGATTGCAATAATAGCATTTTGTTTTAATATCCAGTATTGAATAGTGAATTAAATAAATATGACAGCTTAATTAATGTAATATTTTATAGATAATGAAAATGAATATTGCCAGGCATGGTGATGCACACCTGTAATCCCAGCAGTGAGGAGGCTGAGCTAAGAGATAACAAGTTTGGGGACAGCTGGAGCTACACTGTGAGACCATTGTTAAATTAAATGAAATATGCTATGAGGGATTATAGTAATTTTAGAAGATACTACATCATAAACTAAAAGGTTATAAATTTGTACCAAATTGAGGAGAAAGTATGTACTGTATTAAGTAAAAATTTTCATAAGAACATTTAAAAAAAACATAGTTATTTATGGATGATATATTGCATATGTTTGTTGAAATTTTTTATTCTTTGATAATTTTATACATGTATTTAAAGTCTTTTGATCATATTTACTTCGTATTTTGTATTTTTACCCCCATCCCACCAAGTCCCTTCTTTTTTGTTTGGTTTTTCGAGACAGGGTTTCTCTGTGGTTTTGGAAGCCCCTTCTTTTTATGAGCTGATTCAAGTTTACCTGGGACTGCATGCATGAGCATGAGTGATCATATCACTAAGGATGACTCGTTCTTCCCCAGAAACCATTGACTGCTTATGATACCATAGAACTCCTCAGGGCAGCTCGTTTATTTATTTATTTATTTATTTATTTATTTATTTATTTATTTATTTACTTTTTTGGTTTTTCAAGGTAGGGTTTCTCTGTAGCTTTGGAGCCTGTCCTGAAACTTACTTTGTAGATCAGGCTGGCCTTGAACTCACAGAGATCAGCCTGCCTCTGCCTCCCAAGTGCTGGGATTAAATGTGTGCACCACCACTGCATGGCCCCTAAGTATTTTTTAAATATGAAGAATGGACAAATTGGGGAGTAATGGAGTGTGTGAATATGATCAAAATGTATGAGATTCCTAAAGAATTTATAAAATATTAATGATAATAATGGGCATGACTTTTTTTATCATATTAGTCTTTTTCCTATTTTGATTTTTGTTTCTGTGTTTTGTTGGTATCTTTTTTCAAGAGAAAACAAAGTTGGGTAGGTAAAGAGGTGGGGGGAGGAAGGAGCATGGTTAGAGTATTTTTTATGAAAAAATCTTAATTAAAAAAGATCTTAATAAGCTAAAATTAAAAGTAAACTCTTTAAAATAATATTTAATTTTAAAAGAATTATCAAATCATTTTCAGGGTGAAAAATAAAAAATTTCCAAGTACAGAAAGTTGTGTGGGCTGGAGCAATGGCTCAGCAGTGAGAACACTAGTTATTCTTCCAGAGGACCCAGGTTCACTTCCCACTTGACAGCTCACAACTTTCTGTAACTCCAGTCCCAAGGCTTTTGATGCCTTCTTCTGACCTCCAAGGGCACCAGGCATGCAGGTTTTGAACATACGCACATGTAGACAAAATAATCAAGTACATAAAAAATGTTTAAAAATTAGAATAAAATTAAAGCTATTTATCAAATAATAAATCATTGGTTATTAGTGAAAATGACATTTTGTGTGTGTGTAATGAGGCAAATCAAATCCAGGATCTTATACATGTTAACAAAGCTCTCTACTATCCTTAATTCCCAAATACCATGAACTAAAGGAAACATTAAATGTGAAACAAGAACATTTCCCCCTATCATAGTGAAAGATAGTGGGAAAGGAGACATTGCTTTTACATTTCTTTTACAAAATATAGTCAGGCTTGGTGGCGCACATTTTTAATTCTAGCATTGGGAAGGCAGAGGCAAAAGGCTATCTGTGAATTCCAGGGCATCCTGGTCTGTATAGTGAGCTCCAGGACAGCCAGGATCACATAGAATCTGTATCAAAACCCAAAACATATATACGTATACAGTTTTATATTACTTATATATTATAATATGTAAATATATTAATATAATGCTGTTTATGTTTATTATGTAAATCTATTGTACATTTTTAATTATTTTGTTTTTGAAACAAGAGTCTGCCTTTGTATAGCCTAGGCTGACCTTGAATTTGCAGCACTTTTTGCCTCATACTCTGAAGTGCTGGGATTCCAGGTGTGTGCTACCTGGCCAGACTTACTGTGTAATTTAACTAGAGCATAGCTCTGTGCTCATGTCTGCTTCTGCATTCCGTTTGTTAGGATTCATTTTCTCACACAGGTACATAGTTACAAAGGGAGGAGCAGTTTCATCACCTTTCCCATTAACTGGAAATGTTTTCTTTAATACTAACCCAGGACACAATAAAAATAGTTCCTTGAGGGTCAGTGCAAATCTTTCAAATGATGTTTATTATACAATTTAAAAAATTAAGTTTGTTCATACTACCGTCTGAAATATATTGGACTTAATTTTCACTTGAGAGCTTCAGTTTTTTTTTTCTGTACAACAAATACGTCAATTGTTTTGCTTGAAATATCAGGCTTATTTGGTTTATTTTGGAGAAAATTTCTTCCAAATACCTACTATTTGTGTAGTTATTTTTTGAAGTGAAAATTGTAGTTCATGAAAAATATGTCTAGTTCAGCCCTCAGCTCATAATACACAGGTGATTTTCCCTGTGATATAATGTTCATCTGCAGAAATGCTTTTTGAATCTGTCCTCATATTTGAATATCTTTTGTCATGTAACATTAAGATGTATTCTCGAGGGTCAAGATTTCTGGTGAAATTTGCCTTAAAAATGAAAAAAAAAAACGCAGTGTAACTGTGGACGGACTACTGGTGATGTTGGTTTCACTGCTTTGAAGGGTGGGCCAGCAGATTTACTTCTCCTCATTTCTGCAGCTTAGGTGTGATCAGCGGTGAAGAAAGCAGGGACTTTTTTTTTTTACTATTAGGGGATGAGTTTGAATTGTATACTCCTTTACAGGGTCTCAAATGTTGTTACAAATGTATGGTTCACACTATGATAATTGATATGATAGACCTTAAAAGGGCTATTTGATTTCAAGCATGGGAAAGCATTCTTCACTGAGTAATTGGTGTTTAAGTTAAGCCAACCAATCAAAGGGAATGACAACGTATAGTTGTTAGTTCATCTAGGACCTGTAAGGCCACTGTATTCATAGATGTTAACAGTCAAGGGGAGGTAAAAGGAGTACAAGAAGTTGCTAGTTTATTTGAGCCTTTTAAACTCATTTTAGGAATAGGAAGTGGGTACTACATTGGGTAGTGTTTGTTGCACAGTCTTGAAGACTCAAGTTCTGATCCCCAGAACTCCTGTAAAATCTTGTGGGGTGGTGTGCCTCTGAAACGTAGTGCAGGGAATTGGGAGGGTGGATGGGGCAGAGACAGGAAGACCTTTGGACTTGCTGGTTAGATAGTTCACCTGAAACTAGAGCTTGTTCTTTCAACTGGAGACCTGGTCTCAAAAAATAATGAAGTGGAGAGCTACTGTGGAAGATATACCTGGTGTCAAGCTCTGGCTTCAACATGTCCCCTCATTCTGCATCTATGCCTCTCACATCCTGCCCAAAGACATACACATACACTAGGGGATTAACCCCCCCCCCCAATCCCACTTATTTTAAGGGGTTTACTTCATAACCATGAAAAGCCAGGAAGGATTTTTTTGTTTGTTTTTTATTTTTTCAAGACAGGGATTCTCTGTGTATCTCTTACTGTCCTGTAGCTAGCCTCAAACTCAGATTTCTGCTTTTCTCTGCCTTCCAAGTGCTGGGATTAAAGGAGTGCACCACCACAGCCCGGCTCAGGAAGGACTTAAGGGCAAGGGTAAAGTGGTGCACACCTCTAATCCCAGTATTTGGGAGGCAGAGGCAGGCACATGTCTGTGAGTTCCAGGGCAGCCAGGGCTGTTACACAGAGAGACCCTGTCTGAAAAACCAGACAAACAAAAAGACAAGTGGCAGTGAAGTGGTCAGATTTGAGTTTTCCTAAGATTACTTTGGGCATTTCATTAAATTACTTTTCACATTGACAGTTGTAAAGTCTTTCCTGGCTGCTAACAAAACTAGCCAAAATCTGAAATTCAACAGGCAATTAGGCAGAAACTTGAATTTTTAGTTTTCAAAGAGCTTTGCAGGTCAAAGAGTAAAAGCTCATGACAGTTTTAGTCTTCCATTAAAAAATTTGTCCTCCCTGTGAAACATCTTTAAAAATTTACTTATGTTCTATTAGTTGGAATAGGTAGTTGAAAACTATGAGGACAAGTGCTCATAGACCATATTCATTATAGTAATTTTGAAAAGGTGAGTTCTCAGGAGCTGTAGTGTGTTGGACTGTTTCTAGGAAAATGACACCCTGCCATCTATCTGATATTTAGTATTAAAGGTTTCTTCTTCCAATCTAGTAACAGCTAGAATACCAGTACTGAGGTTTTTTTTTTTTTTTTTTTAAAGACTAAACACCTTGCAGTTAATTAAAGGGAAGGGGCATAGGTTTGCTGACTTGCCTCCCTTCCAGCCATTATAGCTGCTGTACTGTTTGTGAAGGAGGAAATACATGAACTTCAGTGTGCCTTGTTAATTTTCTTTTGTTAGCACTTTAGCTAACACAGAGGCCTTTGTTGAGGTCACTGTTGTCTTAATGTGCCCCTTTTAACTGTTTCAGTAATGTCTGCCCTTCTGTATTTCGTGTATGCCAGTTTTAAGAATTTTGTATTGATAGCACAGTTTTTTCTTGTTTCTCTAAATCAGTTCTGGAATTGTACTAGACTGATTGTGGGTGAGTTTTTACCATACTGGAAAGAATTTATTAGGAAAATATCTGGCTAATTTCCATTGGTGGGGGCTCTTCTGTATAGACTGGCTTGACAAAAGGTAGGCAAAGAAAGCACCCAGGCCATTAGGCTCCCAGAAGACCATTTCTGGAGCAATGCACAGTGTTACTGATTAATTTTTTTGTGTAGCCCTGTTAGTCCTGGAACTCAGTGTATAGACCAGGGTGGCCTGGAATTCACAGAGATCTGCTTGTCTTACCTCCTGAATGCTGGAATTAAAGCTGTGTGCCACCACACCTGGCCAGAGACTGACGTTTTTTAAAACTATCATTTATACTTTAACTATGTACCTTAGAATTTTCAAAAAGCCTTTTTCTCATAGAAACTGATTCCTTAATGAGAACCACACCCCTTCGTGCTGAGTTTTTCCTTTCCCTCCCTGCTCTATCCTTGCTTCTTCCTTTTCTTTTGTAAGTGAGGTTTTAACTGAGTTGCTTTGGCTAGCTTTATGCTCCTGAGCTCAGCTGAGTGCCCTGCTCAAATCTTCTGAGTATGTAGACTATGGACTTGTACCACTGTCCCTGGTCAAATGTTGTTGATTTTTAGTTCATGTAATCCCTGGTATTAATCAAGTGACCTAAACATTCCTAGGTTATCATTTTATACATATTTCACATTAGACATTAATAAAAGAATTTATTAATATTTGTATACTACTGATAGAACAGAATGGTATCTCTTGGTCTAGTTCATTTAATAATCTGAATTTGACCCTTCTCTTTGATGATCCATATGATAAATATGGATTACAATGCTGAAGAGATGGAGAAGGGGGCTGGAGAGATGGCTTAGCAGCTGAAAACATTGACTGTTTTCCAAAGATCCTGAGATCAGTTTCCATCCTCAAAAGATGTCTACAACCATTTATAATGGGATCCTGTGCCCTCTTCTGGTGTGCAGGCATAGCACCCATATATATAAAATGCATAAATAAAATCTTCTTAGAAAGATGGAGAAGAAGCCAGGCGGTGGTGGCGCACGCCTTCAATCCCAGCACTCGGGAGGCAGAGGCAGGCGGATCTCTGTGAGTTCGAGACCAGCCTGGTCTACAAGAGCTAGTTCCAGGACTGGCTCCAAAACCACAGAGAAACTCTGTCTCGAAAAAACAAAAAAAAAAAAAAAAAAAAAAAAAAAAGATGGAGAAGAGAGAGGGTAGAAGAAGAGTTTCTTACTCACTCTTTGGCCTTAGGATAAAATAGTTTTCTGTGTGATTTCTTCAAATTTGAGGCCCCTGAGAATAACAATCCAAAACTTCCTTATCTCCTCCTTCCTTCTCCAACTTTAAGTGATGCGTCTTAAAAAAAAATTAAATTTCTTATCTTAGTAATAGATTTTGGTTGGTTCATTGGTCTATCCATCCATCCATCCATCCATCCATCCATCCATCCATCCATGGGCATCGTCTCACTGTGCAAGCCAGGCCTGCTTTTGCTTTGCCTCCTGTGTGCTAGGATTAAAGATGTGTCTACCTTACTTGGCATTGTTTTTCTTTTAGAGATAGGATCTAATTTTTGTAGACCACACTGGCTTTGAATTCCTAATCATCCTAGACCCTTAAGTGTTGGAATGTAGGTGAATGCCATCACACTTGGTACAGTAATAGACTTTTGTCAGAGCATATTGCTACAGCACACAGTCCTTGTCCTCCAGACATCTGACAGTGAAAGAATTAGGTCATTTTTTTTTCTAGATACATAAGCCCATTACCCATTTTCTTCTTTCTCACAGTTTTGCAATTTTTGGATATGTAACTTATTTATGTTTGTATATGGTATGATAAGATTGGTTTATTTGAATTTTAGAAAACAGAAAATTAATATTTTCGCTGGAGAGTTGGCTCAGTGGCTAAGAGCATTGCCTACTCTTCCAAAGGTCCTGAGTTCAATTCCCGGCAACCACTTGGTGGCTCACAACCATCTGTAGTGAGGTCTGGTGCCCTCTTCTGGCCTGCAGACATACACACAGACAGAATATTGTATGCATAAATAAATAAATAAATATTAAAAAAAGAAAATTAATATTTTCAAAATTTATATTGTGGGACAAATTTGGATGTTTGATATGAAATAATAGTAAGCTAATTTTAATTTTGTTGCTGAGACAAAAGGATTGTAAAGATTGTAGCTACTATGTAGCCCAGTTATTTTTTTTTGGATAGTCTACAGTACAAATCATACATTAAAAAGTTGCTTTTTTGATTATGACTTATATTTGAATGAGAATAGAGAAAGTTGATTACATAGAATTCAACTAGATGTCCTATTTCTTAGCTACCATAAAATAATGTCAAAATAGCTTTATTAGAATGCTTCTTTATAATGCTGTTTGAAATATTTAAAAATTTGTATCAATATTTTGTTCTATTAAAAATTTAGAATTTTAAATTTTCATAGCTGAAATATTCATGCTAACAGTATGCTTTGAAATGTATCTAGTTATATATGTAGAAATGATTTTATGTATAGCATGTTATAAAAATTTATAGCTGGTATTTCCATTTATTGGATATAAATTCAGTTGAAAACTAAGGCGTAAACCATCAAATCAACTCTGACATGGAATTCCAAGGACTGTGTGCTCAGCTTGCAGAAGTCTTATTTCCTCACAGTTCTAGAAGCTAAAGCCTGGTGTCTCGGTGCCTGGGAGGGTAGAGGTTCTTGCTTTGAGGTCTGCCAGGCCCCCTACTGCATGACTATTAGGCATGTTCTTGGAGTCATATGTTGTGGTCATGTCCCATGTGTCCCTCCACCCCTGACCCCAGGATCTTGTTATATATAATCCTGCCTGGCTAGAACCCACTATGTAGCCCAAGTTGGCTTCAAACTTCCAGCAGTCCTTGCCTCAAGACTCCCAAATTCTGAGATTATATGGGATACCACTCCTGGCCTTTTTTATATAAGTCCATCAGTCACATTGATAAGAGCCTCATTTCGACTTCATTGCTCTTGAAAAATTCATCTTCAAATTGGTAGTCAGATATGGGAAGTTGGATCTTTTTACTATATGAATTTTGGTGAGAACATAGTTTAGCTCTTATGTTCACAGAATGTAGTAAATGCAGGTAGTCAGCATGGAAAAACAAGTACAGTTACTTAATAAGATTTTTGTAGAAGTACATTTGTTCTGTGTTTCTGTTGTGTATCTCCCAGCCGGAGAATTTTCATCCTTGGGCCCTCCCACCATGTGCCCCTGTCTCGATGTGCACTCTCCAGTGTGGATATATATAGGACTCCTCTGTATGACCTTCGTATTGACCAAAAGAGTAAGTATATAGAAACCATGTAGTTTTCAAAAAGGTGAAACTCATTTAATCAGGATCACAGTTTAATTAAAACATTTAGAGATACAAATATCAAGTACTATTTAATTAAATTTTTTGTTGTAACTAATTTGTATAAATCAGATATACAAAAGTAGACTTTTCCTCTTAACAAAAATCTGTTATAGGCACTTGGCTCCATAACATAGTGGTTACATTTATGTTTAGAGAAATATTTCTTTTTGTGTTGCACCATGACACAAGAAATTAGAATACATGACAACCTGATGAAAGACTCAGCAAGTTGACTCTGTTTTTATGTGTATCACTTTTTTCACTTTAAATTATGGTGATAATACTTTCATTTCCTCTCTTTTTTTTATGGGAACATTATTCTATAGGTTTTGAGGCTCTGAACGGTGGTACTGAAATTTTAAATAATTTTGTTTTAACATGTATTATTTATTTTTGTGCATATGCATGTATACATACATATGTGCTTGTATTTCTGTGGGCGTGTGTGTATGTTGGTGTGTAAAGGTGAATGTATGTGTTTTGTGGAAGCCTGAGGCTAATGCTGGGAGTCTTCTTGATCACTCCAGCTGATATACTTAGGCAGTGTTTCTTGCTGAATTCAGAACTTGGTATTTTGGCTTACCTGGCTTNTCTGTCTATCTCTATCTATCTATCTATCTATCTATCTATCTATCTATCTATCTATCTATCTATCATTTGGGGATTCCTTTCTTCCTCTGTGTGAGATTGTAGATGGAATTCTACACCTGCCCAGCTTTTTACATGGATTCTCAGGTCCAAACTCCAGTCGTAAGGCTCATGTGGCAAGCATTGTACTGCTAAGACATCTGTCTAGCTCCTATGTCTGTTACATTGATTTTCCTTCTAGGGTTTTAGAGGTTATATTTTGTGTGTGTGTATGTCTGCGCACGTGTGTGTCTTCTCCTGTGAGTGAGTGCACATTTGTGTTTGTATGCTGTATGTTCCTTTGAGACCATGTCTCTCATTGGCCTAGGCCTTACCTAGTAGACTAGGCTGGCTGACCCAGGAGCCCCAGGGATCTGCCTGTCTTCACTTCCCCTGGGCTCTTAAGTGTGCATCACCATGTTAGACATTTTGTCTGGATTCTAGGATTCTTATTCAGGTTCTCATGCCATCTTGAAAAGCTTTTTATCTACTGAGCAGTCATCATCCTAGTCCCCAGTGTCATATTTTTGTTTAGTTGTTTCTTTTACACTATTTGTAATGTAAAAGATTATAAAACAGTATACAGAGAACAGTAAATATTAATATATTCCTTACCCATGGTTTACACTGGATTTTCCCTCCTGACTCTGTATAATAACCACCTTTCATGAACTTGGGCTCAATAAATTAATATTTTAAATATGTAAGAGATGCTATTGTTTTGTTAAAATTTGCAGTAATTTACATTAAATAAAAGGTATCATCTGAAAAAGAAATGTTTAACTTTTTTAGGCCTTATTTGGGCCTTGATTTTTATAATTTGAGGTTGACTCATAGAATATTAGCAGTTTGTTATTTGAATAGATATTATTAATCAAACTAGAATATTCCCTTCCTGATTGAGATGACTTAAGGGACACATTTTCCTTTTTTGTTATTTTTCATATTTTTAGATTTGTTTATTTAGTGGGTATGAGTGTTTTGCTCTCATACATGCCCATGCACTATGGGCCTGCCTAGTACCTGAGGAGGTCAGAAGAGGACTTTGGATTCTCCCTGAAACTGGAGCTGTAGATGGTTGTGAGCCACTGTGTGGGTGCTAGGAATTGAATCTGAAGCTAATGCTGGGAGTCTTCCTTGATCAATCCAGCTGATAGACTGAGGTTGAAGTATAGGTCATCAGAAATATCTGGATAGCTAGATCATTTTAAGTTGGCATAGTACTGTGGTAGATTTATGATTTCTGCCATAAGTTAAAGTTTGAATTTTGGGGAAAAATAGTATTAAAAGTGAGAACTTTATGTTGTTCATGTGGTAGATACATGAAGTGAAATAAAAAAAACTATAGAATTTATTACAAAAACAAAACAAACCTAAAAAACGATATTATTAATCTTATGTAAATAGATGGTGACTTTTCTATTATAGTAGGAATTTTAATGAGCTGTTTTGGCTAGAACATTTAGATTAAAATCCAGAGAATGGTCTTAGAACTAGACTCTATTTTAGAAATATTAAAAGAAACTGATGAAAATATACTGTGTTCTTTCCAAATGGTAAGTCTTTACACGCATTATTTTATGTAATAAAATTAGTCATTGTGCCTTCACTTACAATAAAAAAAAGAGTATGTGATGCTTTTGTTTCTTGTCGTAGCTTATAGTTTTGTGTTGCTGGGCGGGAGCTCATAAAATAATATATGCATTAATATTTGTTTTAATATATTTTGAAATCTCTTTAGTTTACGGAGAACTATGGAAGACAGGAATGTTTGAACGCATGTCTCTGCAGACAGATGAAGATGAACACAGTATTGAAATGCATTTGCCTTATACAGCTAAAGCCATGGAAAGGTATATTGATTAATAGAAGGACTCCCAGACAAGTCATAGATCTTAATGTCTTTGGAATTATTTTAGCCTGGGATAATTTGTCAGAGCAAGGAGATTAAAAATTTCTCATTTAAAATGAAATAAAATTGGAGGTTTCTATGTCTTTATAAGTTGATTTTTAACTAGATGTCTATTAAGGTTGAACATATGAATTGATCTGATTTTTTTTTTTTTTGGTAATGTGAAAATTAAAACAACAACCCATCTGTGTGTTTGGGTTGATGTATCTTGGTTTGCATGGTAGCCAATAGTCATTTCAATATCTTAGGATAATCATTATTTTGTAGTACAGTACAGTAATTGTAAAACTTTAAATTTGGAAATATCTTTGAAGGTCATTCTTCAGAATTTTGTAAAGGTACATAAGACTCTTACCCTTTCCTGAGCATGATGGTGATGATGATGTAGTGCCTGTTAAGGTCTTCCTGTGATCAGGTGCTCCTGGATGCGAAGTGAATTCTCTACAAGATGCTTCACTGCCCACTTTTTGCCCAACACATAATTGTTGATTTGTTTGGTAAAATGAAGCATAAACTGTCTCTAGAATTTTCTTTTTTCAGTGCCACATTTGTTTGCTTTTAATTGTTTAGCTGGGTCATTTGGGCTTCTTTACTTTTCCTTAAGAAATGGGCTTTCAGGCTTGGCATAGTGTAAGCCTGTAGTACTAGCATTTGTAAGGCTTGAGGCAGGAGGATCATTGTTTGAGGCCAATGTAGACAATAGACTGAGACCCTGCTACCCACTAAAAGAAAAAAAAAGTTAAGAAAGCCAGAAAACGGGAAAAGAACAAAAACTGGAAAAAAAAAAAGTGTGTGTGTGTGTGTTCTGTTTTGTACCTCAGTTTCCATTTGGCTCACAGTGTATTAGTTTGAAAGCCAGAGGCCTCACTCAGTGTTTGAGTTCAGACTGACCAAGTACTTTATAGGTTTTCTATATTTCTATATATATAAGAGCTGATTCTGTTAAGAAAAAATGCCACCTGAGATTTGTTTTGAGATTGACCTTTTCTCTTCTTTGGACCTAAGTTGTGGTTGACAGGGAAGCGCTTTAGCTTGAAAGGCTGTGCAAGCTTGTGTTCCTAAGTTCTTAAGAAGGGAGCTTAGAGAGGCACTTCATGTGGTGGGCATGAGCCCTACTCTATTTGCCCCCCCCCCCACGCTGGCTGTTTGCTCTCTCTTCCTTTATCTTTATTCTTTCCTTTTCTTCTTTCCTCTCTTCATTCCCTTTCATTCCATCTTACACTGTTCGTTCAGTTCCACGGTCATCTTTTTCTTTCTGCTTCTCTTTACTCTGTGTGACAAAGGCCTCTGTGAGATGTTTAGGTATCTGTCTTACACTAAACTCCTCATCCAGATAAGAATGTTGTTTTCTTCTGTGTCTGTTTTGCATAGTGAACCATGTCAGCATGTCGTCTTTTTGTTTTATTTATTTACTTACTTATTTATTTACTTATTTGTCTGTTTTTGAGTTGGGAGTTTGGTCAGAGGCTGTGGTGATGACTTGTCTGCTCAATTTTTCGCTGAGGCAGCATGGTATGGACTGGAGGCTGCAGAATGCCTTCCCGCCTTGGAGCTGTGATGCTGACTACCTTCTGAGGTTTCACAGTTCTCATCTTGCTCTTCATCCACTTCCACCTGCCTTTCATCTTACAGGCTTTATCTCTTCCTGTGAGATAGTCTTGCACTTTAAGTTGGCAGTTGAAGGTAGCAGTTGTGCAAAGCTGAGACTTCCATGACTTCATAAATGTAGGACTGGAACTGGCACAGCTTTACTTCCATTGTGTTAGTAACTGTTCAGAACAATTTATGAGTCTAAATTCAAAGGAGTAGAAATGTAGTCTCTACATGTGATGGGGGAAGGCCTTTGAACCTGGAGGTGGGAGTCATTTTGAATGGTCATATTTGCAGATGGTAAAATTGAATAGCTCTTTGGATGATAAATAATTCTGTTTTTCTTCCATGATAGCTCTCTAGTAAATTCTCTGATTGGAGCAGCTAGTCTGTAACATATCCCCTGTGCTCAGTATAAGCCCTGGCTCAAATAATTTCAGTTATTAGTTATGGGAAATAGCTATTAATTGATTTAAAACTTTTACTTAAATATAGAATCAAATACTCTTTAAGAAGTGATTTTCATATAATGAAGCATATGCATGGTAGTTTTCTTGCTCCATGTGATTACACAAGAATTACTAGTATCCAGTTGTTGTAACAGCACATGCCTCTGATCATTACATTTGGGAGGCTGAGGAGAGATGACCACAATGCTTGTGAGTTTTGTTGTTGTTTGTCTTTGTGAGACAGGGTTACACTCTGTAGCGTAGGGTGGCTTGGAACTCACAGTGGTCCCCTTTCTTAGCCTCTTGCTGGGATTGTAGGTAGGAGCTATTACACCTGGTTTACTTTTTAAATCAGTCTTTTAAAGATTTATTTATTTTTACTTATGTGTTTAGGTGTTTTGCCTGCATGTATGTCTGTGTAAGGGTGCCAGATCTCCTGGAACTGGAGTTACACACAGTTGTGAGCTGCTGTGTGGGTGTTGGGAATTGAATCTATGTCCTCTGGAAGAGCAGGAGGCCAGTGCTCTTAACATCTGAGCCATCTCTCCAGCCCCTAAATCAGTTTTTTTAAACATTTAACTTAATCCCTCCTTCCAGTTTCTATTATTAAAAATATTATATGATTTTTAAAAAATGATTATCTAATGTTTTATTTATAAATGTATTTAATTTTTCTGTTTTTATAATTCTGTTTCACACAAAGTCCGTCCGTCCATGTCCCCCCC